CTCGCAAAATCGTAGCCAAATTCTAGCATACCTAGCTAATCCTAGCCATCTTAACCCGGCACCGCCTGGGCTATTTCCGTACCCACATCAGCGTGGGGGGGTCGGATCCGACCCCCCCCCCCTGTTATCTCGAGAACCAATGGTCGTATCGAGCCCCGCGAGGCGGCGTTCGAAAGGTCTCTACGAGACCTTCCCAAAGCACTCTTAAGATTTTAAGATTGAGGTCAACTTTCGGGTCAAGGTCAGGTCAAAGGTCAAATTCAGGGGTTTTGCATGATTAGGCTTACGGACAGCGGAATCGATAGCTGCTGCTCGAAACTCACCACAAATGACCTCAAAGACCTAGTGAAGGTACCATGTGCGTATAGGGGTCATACTAAGTACGGGTCAAGGTCAGGTCAGGTCACGAAAGGTCACGGTTTTCACTTTCTGATACATGGGCGTGCGACACATGTTTTATGGCTTATTTTTCACGCCAAATCCGATGGTAATGGTTATATGTGACCCCAAGTCACTGTGCTGGTGATAAGTGTGCATTGAAAGCATAAAAAATCGTTTATACTAAACGAGGGCTGAGAAAAAAGGTCAATTTTTGAACTTTTTATTTTTGACATAAAAATGCACTTTTCTAGACGAGTTTTGTCCCAGGAATCTAGTGGTGCCATTTGTTTTCACATGCGATGTTCAGAAGTGCCTCTAATTCGCGAAAATGCTTATGACGTCACCATGCCCTATGCATGTTGGAGCTATTTTTTACAATTTGGGGGTCAAAAATCAAGATAAAAAGTTGAAATTTGGGACATCTAATGTTCTAATAGAGCTCTATAACATATATTCCGTTTTTTTTGGAAATTCTCAAAATTTTGGATTTTATTAGCTGTTTTCCAAAAAATATAGTTTTTTGAATTTTTAGGGGTGAAAAACGCATTTTATGGAAAATCCGAGATGGCCATTTTAAAGAACTCGTTGAGCTGCGTCTTTTCATGTCCTTAATTTGCAATTTGCTTAAAACCTCGATTTTTGGCGATTTTTTAAACATTTACCATTTTTTGACAGAAAACGCCATGTAGTTACATCACTAAAATCGATATATCTCAGAAATTTTTGAAAATTTTTTCTTAAAAATTGCACAGGAGACGTCAAATTGATAGGGGAAAAGGTATGCGAAGTTTCAAGTTGATAGCACAAGCGGTTCATGAGTTATTCAAGAAAAACGGAGGGGGGGGTCGGATCCGACCCCCCAGGCGGTCGCGGGTTAAAAGCATTCATAGTAATAACAAAAATGGTGGAATGATGGTGGAATCCCATGTAGACCGGTGAGTGTCACTGTCGAGTCGGTCGAGGGTCAGTCGAGCACTTCGTCTGCTACGACATTATAAGGGTTCCCTACATTTCTAGATCTTCAGTTCCTTAGCTATACGACTGTCAACACATTCAAAATGCATATTGTGAATGATATAGTCATTTCTATGCGAAAACAAGCTTATATTATCTGGAATATTGGGGGGTACTGTACCCCCCAGGAAAATTATTGAGGGGGTCCGGACCCCCGCGACCCCCCCTGTGGCGGAGCCCCTGACAAGTACTAAGCATACAATTGTATATTTAGGTTACCTTTCCCTCATGCCTGTATGTATGTTACATTTATTTTGACTTCTGCAATTTTTTGCAGCAGAGCATGCTTGCATAAGTGTTATATAACCACGCTCATTCAAACCTCGTCACCAGCGAGTGTGAACGGACATTTAATTTAGCCATCGTTCCATAAAAGCCACTACGCTTCGCTGGGTGATTAAAGGGACAGTATCATCGAAAAAAAATCAATGTATGGAGCTGATTTTTTTTTTACTAGCATTTCTTGTTTTTCTGAATCAGAAAAACATAGTTTGAGGACCGAACTCGGTGAAAAATATTGCAGCCACATTTCATTTTCATGATTCATTTTCATGAGCGAACCACCACTATACAAGCATGGCCGCCAGTTTGGAAGCATGCAAAATTACTACAGAACTGGCGCAGATAATACATTATTGACGCTACGCTTACGCGGTCGTTCTTCTGATTGAGTTGTCCTTACGGAGAGGTAGCCTTAGGTATTTGTAGCGTGTCGCACTCACTTGTATTTGCTTCCCGATCAAGATAACACTTCAGTACAGGTGCCGCACTCTCTGCGCTCGGCTCCGATCACACACTGCCCTGCGACCGGTCAGCGACCTCCGCCGGCAGGCAGATAGGCCCGCCCTCTACGATCGAACACCGAAAGTTGCAGTTCTTACTCTTAACACTAGTTGAACGCCTACATATTGCCTATAAAAATATCACGTGACAATTGGAGGGAGTGACAATTGGACGTGACAATTGACAATGGGAGAAAATATCACGTGACAATCACGTGATAAACGTCATACATTGGAGGGAGATTGTGATTCAAGCTGGAGGAATTCCTTTGTTGAGCCGCTAGAATCCGAAGGAAACAGCGGAAATTGCCTACGACTATTTAATGAATTTAACGGTGATGAATAAGTGCGAAAAACGTTTTGGCTTTATAAAATTTGATGAAATGACCAGGGTAAAAGTTTTATTACTGGCGGTCAATTCAAAACGGCGCAAACATTTAAAAAGTGAAGATAGTGAAGCACGATTCAGCACGATTCAAAGTGTGGTACACCTTTCGTACTTTGAGCGGCGATAGCGGGATAACGGTGTGGAGCTTCGAGGATCGGTCTTCAGTTCCCGGACCAGAAAGGTGGGGCCTATGCAATGTCAAATTTCATCAAAATGGTGATACTGTCCCTTTAACGGACTAAGTTCGTCTCAGGCGGCTAGTGGTCCGATAGTGTCTGCCTGCGGTGGCCGGGTCCCCGAATCCCATGTCACCTAGCAGCTGCTGGCGCACGCCACTGTCACTTTATAACAGTATCTGTCACTCAGACCTCGCATAAACGTCGCGCTGAAACGGATTACACACACCACGCCACGTCACAACTGGGGCGTCTGATGAGCTTGTTACCATCGGTAGAATAGCATTGATTATGTGGATAAAATTCATAAAAATATGAAAAATGTAGGCAAGCAATTAGCTTTTTATTTACGAGGTGCACATCACCTTTCGAGCAGATGAATATCAATCCTGTTTTGGGAATTTTAGTACCTTTCCTCATACGGTAAATTATGTCTTTACACAAAGTATCGATCAGCGCGATTTCAACTCCCGTCCGGATGTGACCAGACTGGTCGCGTGCCTGCCGTGCCCATGGCCTGCACGAAGTCCGGCCCGCTCTCCAGGTGATTGAACGCGCCACTTTCCCGAAGTGCCGCGCCTAACCAGCGTTGTCATTCACGGCCGGCGCTTCAACTTGTTCCACAAATTCAGCCGCTGCCCTCCCGGCGACTGACAGAGTGGACAAGATTTGGCCGCACTTGGCTCATCAACCGGCGCCGAAAATTTAATGGCGAAGTTGCGTGACTAACTTTTCACCTTACCGAGCCAGTTGAACGCACAGCTCGGCGCACCTGATCGCAACTACATAGTTGAACTGTAAGGCTCATGAGAGTGAGGATGGAGTTGTGAAAGAATGCTTCCGGCAGGTATATAACTAGTAACATATACATAGTTAGGTGCGGTTAAACCGCAGCGTGGGATATTTTCAATTGAGAGCATTGCATCCTTATTTCACAGGTTAGAGGTTACCTTATTCACTCCCTCGATCCCATTTTTTACATTTTCTCTTACAAATAAAAGCTTCTCCGTTGCTTAAAAATCGGCACGATGTTGTCGATTTAATAATAAGACGGCGAATCTCTGTTCCACATTCATATTCAGTCTTTTGGTCCGCCTTTTGATATGATTCAACGCAATCAGCTGCAACACTGATGGCATGTGGATTGTAGATACATGTATGTAGACGTAGTCGTCAACAGCACAATTCACAAAGCACGTGATACAGAGCATATATCTCATTTTCGCCAGCTCAGCACTGATTTATTATCTGTTGTCTGATGCAAGTGCCTTTATCAGTCATTGCTCGTTGGCACTGCAGACGTTCATGGAATAATCCTGTTGCCGGATGGTGTATTCACCCTATGTAAGCGGTTTATGGCGGTTCTAAAGCAACAGAATACAGCGCCCACCGACATAATCATAAAAGTTCGGTAGTTACAGCGACTTGCGACGATTTGGCTGCCTGTTAGAAGTTTTGAATACGCGAAAGTTTATAAGTTTATAAAATCAGAGACGCATTGTCAAAGATGCTTTCAAATACATATGTCTAGTAACAGGAAATGTTAAACATGCTATAAGGCGTTCGGCTAATCAGGGTATTGTAAACATTACGTTTATACAACTTATACAAGGGTGGTCTCAGTCAGGCTTACCTTGATCGAACTGTTGTCATTATAGGTACATAGGTATTATGCTCAGTTTTAAGTGTTATTTTGATGTCGTTTCGATGAACTTCTAGCCCCTCTGGCCTATGATACTTTTTCATCATTGGTTTGTCGTTGACATTCTATATAAGCCAATAAGCCCTGCCTTCGTGGCTGAAACCCATGTTGCTCCCAATCTTATCGCCAGCTCATCTTATTTTTGTCAGACGTGAGCTAAGACACACTGATAAATGTTTGCTATTTTTGTTTAGCACATAAGACCCCTCCTTTGGAGCTATTGAAAAATGTATATGACAACAAATACTGATTGTTGCAATCGTGGATCGCCCATGAGTGTTAAATGACCGACCATTTCCAACAGAACCTTTTCCGTTCGCCGTCGAAAAGACAGCCAGCAGGACATACCGGCTGGTTTATTTTTAGACCAAGTAGATCTGGTTGACGGTCACCGTTTCGTCCTCTCGGCTCTCAACACAGGTGACCTCAGCTATTGTCAAATCGCCGTGACGGTTTATTTACTCGCTATCGCCGGTGTTATCTGTGTAAACTAGTTGAGCCGCGGCGGTGACCGCTGGTCTATACGGACGGTGAGATCAGTCGCTTCTGAACTCGGCCGGTGACCGTATATCGTTGTGATCCGAGGTGTAACACGAAGCCATTTGATCTCTGACAGAAGTCGTGATCGGAAGAAAGGCTGTAGGATTAGCGTGAGGCAAGTCTGTGGCCGAAGAAGCTTGGTGTTTTGTGTGGCAGAACGATTAGGCACTTTTGATCGTAATTGAAGATACTTCCCTGCTTCTTAGTGCGACGTTGCTTTTGCCATGGCCGTTTCAAATAGACGAATCTGATAAAAATGGTCGTTACTCTTCGTGATAATGAAAGAGGATGAAATGGCAGCAGAAGACGATTAATTGAAAGCCGTTGTTGTCATTTGCCAGCAGCAAGTGCATATTTTTGTCTTATAGTAACACTACACATCCTCTACCAAGATGACGTGGATTCTCGCATCGGAAATTCCAAAATCAACTCCGGACTCACCCCAGCATCTCCACGGAGACCCTCAGCCGCCGAACTACGGAACAATGGCCGCCACTCCGCCGTTCTCCGCTCCATCAGACCCCGCCGGGTCTCCGCGGACCCCGGCCAAGTCCTCCCCGCGGCAGCGCCGGCTGCTGGCCGGGCTGGCGGTGGTCTGCGTCCTCAGCGGCTCCCTGATCGCCGTCATGGTGCCCTTCTTCCCGTCGGAGGCTGCCAGCAGAGGCGTCTCCCAGACCACCATCAGCGGCGTCTTCAGCTGCTTCGCGCTCACACAGATGCTGCTGTACCCGTTGGTCGCACCGCTGGCGCTGCGCCTGGGAGTGACGCGGCTCTACAACATCGGCATCGCCACGGCCGGCGTCTCCACCATCGCCTTCGGCACGTTCTACCACATCCCCGGGGGCGCGGGCTTCATCGCCGCCTGCTTCGTGGCCAGGGTGGTGGAGGCGGCCGGCACGGCGGCCGTCTCGGCCTGTGGCTTCACCATCATCGGCAACCAGTTCTCGGGGCGCTCCAGCTCGGTGGTGGCGCTGGTCTCGGCCGCCCAGTCGGCCGGACTCTCCGTTGCGCCGGCCATCGGCGGCGGTCTGTACGCGGCGGCCGGCTTCGGACTGCCGTTCTACGTCCTCGGCTCCGTCATGGTCGTCACAGCCGCGGTCAACATGCGCTTCATGCCGGCAGTGGAGAAGACGGACGACTCGCCGTCGGACGTGACGAAGATGTTCCGCACGCTTGCCGCATCGCCAGAGAACTGGCTGTGCCTGCTCATCGTGTTCTGCTACTCGCTCGACTTCTTCACGTTCGAGTCGTGTGTGGCACCGTACGCCGTTGCCGCTCTGGGCATCACACCGGCGACACTCGGCCTCTACTTTACCGTGGCTACTGGCTCGTACGTCTTCACCAGCATCCTGTGGGCGCGGCTGGCGGAGCGCACCACCAACCCGTACTCGATGATGTCCCTGTGCCTGCTGCTGGTCTCCGCCAGCCAGCTACTGATCCCGCCGGCCTCCTTCCTCGGCCTGCAGCCCACCTGGTGGCTGTTCGGACTCGGGATGACGCTACAGGAGGCGCTCTTTGGCGGCGCCTACATCCCGTGCTTCCAGCTGATGCTGGCGGCCTCGGTGCGCGCCGGTCTCCATGACGACCTGCGCACTCACGCGTTCGTGTCGAGTGTGTTCTGGAGCGCCTACTCGCTAGGCACGGTGGTCGGCCCGCTGGCCGGGGGCCTGCTGGTGGACGCCTACGGCTTCCCGCTGATGATGATGGCCGTGGCGGCGCTGACACTGACCGTGGCCCTGCTGACCGCCTGCCAGGCCGGCGTGAGGACATTCAGAGCGCGCTGAACATGGTGTCAAAACTCACCCATCTCAGCAGTGTGGAATGGCGCAGAACAGAATACAGACTAACACGACAGTGAGCAATTGGGGACTGTTCGGTCGTCCCACCGATCCATTCTTGAATCCAGTTCCTGAAAATACTCTGACCCTGTGACTTGAACGCAGTGGATAAAGGCTGTGTTGTGCGGTGATCACCAGGCAGACGGGTCAGGTCATCAGGCAGGTCCCCGGCCGGTCAGGTCACCAGACAGGTCCCCAGCCGGTCAGGTCACCAGACAGGTCCCCGGCCGGCCTGGTCATCAGGCGCGTCTCTCAAGGTGCGACATGTGCGCCGATGAGGTGACAGAACCACTCGCCATTCTCACGTGATCGCTCAGCCAGAATGGCTCATCAGTCTCAGCCTGTCGCCGTTCGTTATCGGTAAAAAACGAATATTGGTCGGCCGCCAGCACACACAGGGCCGACCGGCGTCGGGTGCAGGAAGTGCCATGGGATGGGTGGAAAATGTGCTGCTGTTTCCGGGTGGTGTTGAGAGGTAAAGAAGGCAGTGCCTTTGCTGAGCAATGCACCGAAACTGTCTTGAATTGCAGTGCATTCAATATAACTAATCAACATCTGACCTTATTTTATTCAAAAGAGCTTGCCTTTAAGTTATAACTACAAATACTACACGGTTCGTTTACCCACAGTTCCGTTAATATGATGCTACTAATGGCTTAAAATGAGGGATTAGATTTGTTGCAAGCACTTGTTTTATTTTTCAATTTCTGTTTTATCGTCTCTACTGTTGTGCTGACATTATATGCGCATTAAAACGTGAAACCCAGAAGGATCGTCCATTAGCTGCATTTTTTCCCGGGGCCATAGGACTGTTATGGAGATGGACAACATTGTCGGACTAAGCCAAGGGACACAGCATTGACACAGCAGCTCGTGATAGCCCATCGACGCTGCTGTCCGTCAGGTTATCAACGTTAAACGAACGCCGACGGAACTGTTTAAATTCGCAGCAGCGCTGTCGAGAAAATCATTTCGTCGGCGCGACGTCAGAGAGTCTCATTTTTCATCTGAACGAAGTTCCCAGCCAGTGAAATGTCCAGAAGTTGCTAAGCAGTGTTAGGTTGAAGTTCATCCACAGTTCAGTGTGTTGCGGCTAAAGTTTTAGCCTCACGATCTACCTCTTTCTCGCCACAGTGCATTTAAAGGAATTTCCGTTCTTATCACACCATAGAAGTTCTATACTTAGCTGAAATTAAAATGCACTCGGGACAAACGTTGGTACATACGCATAATTAGGTAGCTGCTACCTTATTTTGACTGATCTTTCTTCAATGTCCATCTGCCACGCCGTGACCATTTCGATCACCTCAGCTCAGCCCGAACACAGCGTGCCCGTCCAGTGGTGACCGGTCACCTTTCCAGCTGTGCAGCCCGGTATCCTTTCCAGCCGTGCCCGGCCACCTTTACAGCCGTGGCCAGTACCTTCCCAGCGGCCTCGACGGTCATGGCGCCGGTCGTAGATCGTCGTTTGCGCGGGCAGCCGACTCGTTACTGCTCTGAGCATATTTCATAAATCCCCGCCTACATGCAGACGGTGAGCCGGGCCCATTCCGAAACCCTGTAAAACCGCGGGCAGATAACGAATGAGCGCTGGCCGGCGACCAAAGTCGCTGACAAAGTGGTGCGAGCTGCTCTATCTAGTCCAGACGGATGGGCCCGGCCGGCGCCGGAGCCGGTCCCGGCCGGGACGCCACCGCGCCCGAGGCGCCGCCGCCTTCCCGGTATCACAGGTCGTTCGTCACCCATCCGAGCAGCTCACAGGCACATGGGCGACCATAACTCTATCTCGGCAACAGCGCGGTGCATTCGTGCTCCGAAATACTCACACCATTGGCGCGGGCCGGATCGCTGCGGGCCGGGGCTTCATATCCGGAGCGGTGCTGGAGAGGGAATTTATCGGCCGACCGGGGCCGGCACACCGGCCATGGGACTGTGTGATGAGGTCAAACTGGAAACGGTCACTTCACAGTGTCACCGGGTGATGGACGCCGAGATTGAGGTATGACGTAGTCCAGCATCCTTCAGTTTCAGTATTGCGAGATTGTAATCACCACACGCGTTGGCAGAAAGGTCGGAATCAGGCAGCGCGGTGACACATGGTGGCAGTTGCCGGCCGGTCGGAAGGTTGCCCTGGGGTCGGCGGGCAGCCGGACGGATGTGGTCAGATGCGTGTGATGAGATCGGCTCCCAGGGGACGCGCAGAGATGAGGCCAGCGCAGCGGCCGGAAACGCAGGGAGTCGGGGAAAGACGCCAACAGGACAGTGGGCATAGAGGATGATCTGTGTGTCTGAGTTAATACTGGTGAAAGCTTCGAGGTCTAGTCTATAAGTATGAACAAACATGATTTGAGAGATTGCGTCGAGGCCTATGATCGTGTCTGTCTTGTGTCAACCACAATTTATTCCGCCCGCTGCGGCCGCATGGAGCCCTGGTGACCTGTCGCAGGGGTGACTTATGGGGGCACCAATCATCGCATTCTGCATTGATCTGAAAACACCGGATCACTCTCACAAAGCGTGGCATACGAATCCCATCGTATACAACAGTCGTATACGACACTCGCCGTACTGTGACGTGTTGCACAGTAAGACACCCTAGCCGCGCCCTTTGATGGTCGAGTGACTCGGCACAGGGAGACTAGCGACCGATTGGAGCGTCACTTATCTCTGATCTTTCGGAATTTGATTCTCCGAAAGATCAGATCCCGCACAGGAGCTGGCCGTTCGTAGCTGAACGCTGACACATCGAAACACGGCGAAGTTTTGAACAACAGTACGTAGTCTGGAATGTTAGTTGCCAAAAATGAAGATCTCCATGAAGTATGTGACACAAATGGTCAGCAAAAAGTGATGAAAAGTAACATTAAAAAGGAAAATATAATATGAACACAGCATGCAAAAGAAGACAAATGTGAAATCAAAAGGAACAGCAATTTGTTCAACATAAGAACGAATTACATATAAGGATCAGCATTCTGAGGTCAAGTTTACGGCGAGGACCCCGATGTATCATATTGGTTAAGCTATCACAACGTCACCAAGTTTTCACGATGTCTTGCTATAAACCTCATAAACATGTTCACAGCTGATAACTTGGCTGTCTCAAAGACCACCTTAGCACAATGCTAACACGATGACGATGTGAATCGAAACAACGAACATAAGCATCACATCAACATACACATGGAAACGTTGGCACCCGAATGCATCGTTTGGAACACAATCAGCTTGGCTGACGAATGTCCTCTGTGTGATTTTACCACGCTGAAACCAGTCAGTGTCCCGAACCACTGAGTCTGCTAACACATTTGAACAACATACAAGTATTTATCAGAGCACACATTCTGATCTGATCCCTGTAGCTGCTCCAAAAGCGACGATCGCCAGCCGTTAGCCACTTGCCTAGTTTGTTAACGATATCGCCGATACAAAACCACTTTAACCAAGTTACGTGCTCGGTCCGAGCGGCAAGCGCCGCTGTTTGTTGCTCTTGGCCCGGTGACCTTTCCCGGGCCGGGAGTTGTTGCTTCGTTCTCCATGGCCTTATCGCGCCGGGCGACACCAAACAAGAGCACACGGCCAGCTCAGCACCGGGCCGCCATTAGGGTCCCTCGGCGGCTCCATTCAGCACTAACGACTGCTGGCGGCGCGCGGTCACGTCCTCGTCTCGAACAGCTCGTCACTGGAGGCGGCAAAGTGCCGGTAGCTCGGGTAGCTCTCGGTGAGCGCCAGCGCGCCGGCCGGCAGCGGCGGTACGTCGTCCGGTTTGGGCGGCGGACGCGAGCGGTCCTTGTTGATCCGGGCGCACACCACAGCCACACACAGCACGAACACCATGCCCAGGCCGACCGAGCTGCCCAGGATCAGGCCCAGGTTGGCGGCAAGCACCGAGAGCGGCGCCGACTCCAGGGTCCGCACCTGCACGCACTTTCTGTCGGGGCTGGCGGTGTCTGGCGGCGCTCCGGCCGGCCGGCCGAGCCGCGCCAGGCTCTCCGCGCGCAGCCAGTCCCCCAGGCCGACCACACAGACCCGGTACTCGGTGTCGGCGGCCAGCCCGTCCAGCTGGTGGGAGCGCCGCCGCGGCTCCAGCGGCGCCGTCAGCACCGGCCGACTGGTGTCCTCGCGCTGAGCCAGCGCGTGCTCGGAGCCGGCGGCCGGCGGCGCCGGCGGCGCGCCCAGTCGCTGGTGTAGGATCCGGTAGCCGAGCACTCCGCTGGCGTTCCGGGACTGCCAGGAGACGACCACAGAGTGCGGCTGGATGTCCTGACAGAGCACAGACAGACAGGGTCAGACGGGTGATGTAAAGACGGTCAGACGGCTAGTGACACATAACAACAACCTGTGCATCGCATGTCCTCAGCACAGCTACTGATTGCCTCAAATGAGTTATGGTAGATATCAGCTTTGTTCATGAATGTCATTATGTGTAAATGAACCAGTAATGACTACGCAAGCTGCACTCACCTGTACCAAATATGCGGAGTTCAAGTTGACTGTGGTATTTTGCTCCCCACCCCAAGTCAAGCGTTCGTCACTTTGATCACGGATGATCGTTTTACCTTTGAACTTAAATGAAATGATAATGTTGACGTGGAACTCCAGGACATTGAAAAATGCCACGATAATTCAATAAACTTCAAAGCCTGCGATGAATACGCTTACCTCAAAATAACCACCAACCTAACAAACACAAAACCACAAACAAAATAGCGCTCTAACCACATGACATCCGAACCTGAATGGCGATTTTCTGCACCAGTGGGAAGGGGCAGAAGAATGCCGACGAGCGGTCGACCAGCGGCTGGCCGCGCAGGTTCTCCGGCGAGCCGCAGGTCACGTTCCGAGTGGACAGCAGGTGGGAGTGCTCCTGCAGCCAGGCCCACATCTCCCGCAGCTCGCAGCTGCAGTGCAGCGGGTTACCTGCGGACAGGTCACGTCAGGTCAGACGAGGTCAGGGTAGGGCAGACGAAGTCAGGTCAGACAAAGCCAGACTGTGGTAATGCTTGGGTTCGCCGGTAGCTATTTTGCGGTTGCCGAGAATCAATCCTTGCATTTAGGCAGGGTAAGCTGAGGCTACTCCGCCGTACGTGCTATTTAGGGGCTGCAGCGGAGGAGGTGATTTACGTCGCTCGCTCTGACGTCAGGTAAGGTCAGACTGCCATTGCGCACTGGCTGCTGACCGTCAGACCCAGTGACGTCATCACACAGCGGCCAGTGACGTCACCAGAGTGCAGCCGGCTCCCGGCGGTACCATCGGCGATCTCGGCGGTCCCCAGCGACTCATTCGCTCTCAATCTGTCACCATTAGACGCCGCCGGCGCCGCATCAACTTCAAACAACTCATCCGAGCGAGAGGCAGCCCGAGGAAATTCCTCAGCCATGCGCCCGGCTTGATATAAGCGCGCTCAGGCTATTTCCATAAAACACTGATACGTCAAATGTACTCATGAATAACTAACTAGACATATGTATATTTTAGAATCTTTTATATATCAGTGGAAAATGGTTAAAACGCAGAAAAAAACTTAAAAGTGAGCTTGGCCGTTCGCATCCCGTCTCATGACCCACTCTGCCCAAACGGCTCAACCTTCTAATTTTCGCCCACTTATAGGAATAGAGTTGTTTCTTTTCCGGTCTGAGAAACGTAAAATCTTAACGACTAACGAGTCGTATCTGGTCCGGGTGTATTTCATCAATGCTGCATCACTCCAAGATCCGTTAGTTCCCAGCGATGATGGAGCGCTGGGCCTCAGTTTCCAACACCTTCGTATAGATGTCGCTAGTGGTATACGCCTGAGGTTAGACTGTGCCGCAATGTACGCTTTACTCCCGTGGGCCGCAGCGACCAAAGCGATCACGTATCTAATCTAAAAAGCACCACAGCCTGATTCTGGGAAGAATTTTACGGCAATGCTCGTACAAAAAATGTGCAACCGTCTCGCTACCGGTCAATCCTGCACAAATAAATTATGATCATCCACTTATAAAATATCGGTCTAGCAGGCGCACCATAACCATTTCAATGTTAATCCAAAATAATACGGCAGGACGCAGGTTTTGGTCTAAACACAACAGTTTCATAGCATACACCCGATCCTTCTGGAAGGTGACTGAAGTTCAATGATTTAACCAATGCTTACAATCCTTGTTAAACCACCACACCAATTAAGCCCAATGATGGACCATCCAGACTGACTGGTGTAATAATGATGTCTCATTTTGCCACCTCGCGTGGCAACAAACCACTAAAACGGAGGGCAGACGTCGCCATTACACCAGATTCCAGCGGCTTCATGACATTCTTTTCCGGGGAGTGCGTGTCCTCTGAACATTAACAGGTTTGAAAGGTTAAACCGCTTGATAGTGTGGTATGGTTCATGTGTTTAGTATTTAACAAACGTGACATTTATTCAATGTAATTCGGCTAACCGCTAAAGCGCGGGCTCTAAGAATTAAATCTAAGCATGTTAGCGACATTGGGCCAGGGAAAGGGCAGTGCGACATATGTGACAAGGGTCCCTTAATTTCATGAACGCTATTTGAGGACTAGCTCCTCAGAGTTGCCATAAAATTGATTGTCATGAGAAGGTTGCCACGACAACAAAAATATCTCTTAACAATATATCTTATGAGGCATAAATACATCGATTAGAAACCAGGTTGGTACTGTTTATTTTGATTGATGGCTATTTAAAACCATACCCACTGGCCAATGTCAGAAGCGATGCCTGTACCTTACTTTATTGTTTACGTGCAGCTGATTCGTTTCCAAATGACAGTCTAGCGTCGAGACCTCCATTAGGTTAATCACTGCGGAGGCCAGCTCAGTGGAAGGAGGGAGATGCGCAGCTCCCGCAGGTATTGATCACTGCACGGAAGCTGATGAGCTGCTGCCAAATCAGCGACAATCAATGGAAACGTCTTCTGCTCACTTAGCTGCTCATCAGCAGACCCAGTTGGCAATTGAAAGACGCGGCTCCTACATTTTAGCTCCTATTCAATCTTCATGCAGTTCCAATGGCTTTGCCGAATAAGTTACGGGCTTTCTTAGTTGCTGATCGCCAGGCGTCCACCACTCGCTGTCCATCGTCCACCGTCCACCGTCCACCGTGCACCGACCACCGTCCACCGTCCACCTTCCACACTCCACACTCCACCGTCCACCGTCCACCGTCCACCGTCCACCTTCCACACTCCACACTCCACCGTCCACCGTCCACCGTCCACCGTCAACCGTCCACCACACACCAGACACCATCTACCAGTCCAACGTCCACAGTCAGCCGCACATCACCATCTAACGCCCGCCGTCTACTGCTCATTGGCAACCATCGATGTCCCATAAACCTCTATTTCCGCACCTTTCACTCGGCTCTCTTCCACACCCGGCTGGTCGCACCAGCCCCGAACTGCTCGGCCAGTCAGCAGCTCGGGACTGTGTCAGCCGTACGTAACCGCGCTGCAGTGCAGGGTCTGAGACGTCGGCCTTCGGTGGCCGAAGAGGACTAGGAAGCGCTCTGATAACAAAGCACTCAAGTTGGAACTGAAAGGATGAATTGGCAACTAGAGCAGAGATGATGATCAATATTCATATTCGAGCGGCGTGTTGCGGCGTAGTTCAGGCGCTGTTGACAATGCTTCCACTAGATATTCCCGCAATAAACAGGAGCAATAGCGAACAAACTTGGACGCTCGGACAGCATCAAAAGATTTATGCGATCTCGGAGTTGCAGTATTTTTCGGCACAGCTCGGCGCGGCCGTCCGGGCGGCTGGTTCCCGCTGTCTGTAGCTCTGTGTCGCTGTCGGCAGCTCCGTCTGTGCCGTCAAAACAGTCACTGCACTGCCGGCGCCTGCCATCACTTCTGCGCGGCTGGTTCTGCCGCCACGGCCCGCTCTACCCGGAGACGGCTGCCGGTCCATCAACCCGCTCTGTCCCTCCCGCCTCTCTCCACACATCACCGCTTATCTCTGCCCATCTCCCCGCCGCCGCCTCCGACGGTGTCTTTCTGACGGTATGTGGCTGTCGTAGGAGCGACACACGGAGTCTACCTCTTCCGGCCGGCGGCAGCGCGCACCAAAGCCGCCGCGCCGGAACCGTCTCCGCCGCGCCGCTAGTGGCCCCGCGAGCGGCGCCCGTGCCCGCCGAGCGCCGCGATCAATTATGTTCGGGTGGGAGTGACAGAAACAGCACAACGCTATACGACGAGCCGTGTCTCGGCCGGACGATGGGCCGGTCGGCGAGTTCTGATTGCAGGAAGATGACGGGGAAAGAGTAGGGGGGGGGGGTTGATGAGTGAGATGAGTAGAGCCATAATTGTTTCAGCTAGGATAGCCCTACTCAGCAAAACAATAGAAAATCAGGCGAGATTTGGCCCTACCAGGATTGGAAACTATTTCTGAAAACATTGCAACTTCTGCAATTCCTTACGTAAAACTGTTACATTTCTTTGGCACAACTGATAAAAATATATTAGTTAAATATACGACATTTCTACCATTTGTACCGATAACCCGACCATCATAAGCCATCTTCTTGGCGTCGTCTCGAACTTTCAGCGATTTCTGCTCCAAGTGGATGGCTCTCGACCGGGAAATCCCAACGACAAATGTTGATCCGCAGACTGCAAAAACTGCCAGCTTACGAGCCAATCCCATACGTCAAAGAAGCCGTGTCAAATTTTGACACTATTTTAGGTCTATTGTGGGCCTTAGAGCGGCTGCATAAGCGAATATCACCTCCAGCTGAATGTACTCGCTGGCTAAGCCTCGCTAACCACATAGCAAAGGTCGAGCATTAGTACTGAACCGGTGGATTCGGAAGGATTAACCAAGTCGAGGTCGAGGTCATGTCATAATTACACAGCTCCGTATTCAGGGGGCATAGTAATTAGTGCGGACAGCCGACTGCCAATTCGCTAATCCCCCAGGCTCTGTTCCCATCAGCCAGCACGTTGGCGAGAGAAGTGAACGAGGAGAGTGGATAGCTGTGGGATATAGCGAGAAGAGTGTGCGCGATATACTTTACAGTATATATAGTCGCATATCGTATCATGTGGAAAGCTGAAATGTACGTAATAGCACTTCTATGACCACGATTGATCTTAGAAAAAAATGGTTTCACCGTTGTCAGCAGTGTTCTTTATTGCAATGACTCAGGGAACGTCTGATGACATATTCGCAAATCGCTCCTTGGCTCCAAAATACAAATTACTTTAACGAACTTCTTTGAATTTTTTCCGGCAAAAAAATTTGCTCTAGAACGCATCACATGCTGAGCGATTTACAATTCGAAAAGTCGTATCACCTCTCTTACGGTCCTATCACACCTTCTACCAGCCCAATCCCAGCTTGGCCACTTGAAAGCTTGGTGTGGCGACATCGGCGTTCGAATACTCATGCTGCCATAAATTGGGTGGGCTCGGCAATGCTGCCTGGCGGTCTATTGAGACACAGTCGTATATCGTTGGCCTTATGACGGCCGACTGTTGTGTCGAACGACGTCCCCAGCCGCCGTTCGAGCGAGCCGACCTCCGAGGGTGGCCTCTACAGACTGTCAGAGGGACTGTTTCCACAATCGCCCTTCGCCCATATCTTCAGACGCGTCCTGAGTCCCTACTGCCTTGACGTCAAATAAACCAAAATAAAATAAAAAAGGAAAGTCATGAAACAAATGGTATTCAAGGAGCAGCAAGCAGGCAGTGATATACCAACAGACAGTCGGTCGGAGAGACAAACAGACGGACGGTTTTCTGCAAACAATCACAGATGGGAATTACACTCAGTATGGGCACATCACGTACTGCATCCATAGTTATGTCAAGAATTGCTGTTAACTCCGTATAAACACAGCAATAAACCTTCAATCAACATTAAGTCAAGGTTGACGTCTGACAATCATTACTTTAACAGTTCAAGTTCATTGATGTTAGCACGCAATCAACAGTTTGCTAATTTGCATCTTTAAATTAACAGTTGTACTGACCAGATATGTTTGGGCACGACGGTGGAACAAAAACAGTGGCAGCGGCTGGCTCAATCTCAGTCCGCACTCGTAGGTCCGCGGCTCAGCTGGCTCACACTCAGCTGGACGGCCCTAGAACCACCCCAAACATATGTATGAACGTTGTCTACTTTGACAATGATAAACTAATGACGGTAAACAGCAAAACTAAAGAACCTGCACCCAGTAGTACAGTAAATCAAAGTACAACATTGAAAGCGCGACGAAAGTGGCGCTACGTTGGTTTGTTGCCATTTCCGCTGAATTCAACATCGCTCACAGCTAGCAGAAAATATATCAGACAATACTAATTGTGCTAGCTATCACTTGGATGCATTCATTAAACATTTCAGACAATCATCAATAAGAAAATGAAAGCATACGTACGACGGCCCTCGACACCAGTGGTTCATTCAAGAATGAGCCTGCGTGGTCTACAATTTGGATGCGTCTCGTGCGCCAAACTCGTCAAAGACACGCGAGCAAACGCGGCCACTAAATGACGGGCCGGCTCCCGAACGTAAAGAGCCGCCAGATTTCTCACAAACGGCGACCGGTCGCAACATCCTCCCCCCTAGTTTTCGGACGAACCGAAAACTCACACATTGAGCGACCGAATATGCAGTACCAAATGCTCTCACAGCAAGGTAACGAAAGACAAATTCTTCTCACAGCACTGCAAACAGCAATTGTCGGCTCTTGCACACGCGACTGCATGGCCGCCAGGTAAGCACAAAACGCACTGTGCGCGCAGTCCGAAGTCACGCACTAACGCCGTTCACCGATGCCGGTCACGGTAACGCATCACCACCGCACGAGGCAGCCTGAGGCCGAAGGCGCCGCCCCCGGGCGGCATGGTCATTTCTCCGCGCACCACGCACAGTCACATCGCACGGTAGTAGCCGAGCCGAAGATGCTGCGCGCCGCCAGCCGACACGACCGCTCGGGCAGCAGCGCGCACGAAGTACACCATCCTCGTAGGTCCGTGTGTGCCGTCGTGTACACCAGGACGGCACGCCGTAGTCCAGCGATGAGTCGCCGGCTCCAGCTCGGCGAAGAAGACGATCCATGTCCGAGACGCCGCCTCGCCAGTCGGAGACAGCAGCCCAGTAGTCCGACGTCCAGTCCAGGCCCGCGATCGCTGCTGCTTTCCAGGATCACAGGCACGAGGAGGGTCGGAAATGGTTATAAATACGGCTACGGATTCAATGACAATGGGAAGGGGTAACAAAACAAAACAAAACAAATAAAATAAATACGTGTGGGTATCATAACACAAAATGCAGTGCTCATCAGTGCAAAACGATGACTCATCGGCAGCTTTACTGGGAACTAGACCTCTCTAGCACACAAAGCTTGTGGCTGGGTCTCTTGTACACCCCAGTCGGTGTACGGACGAGGACCGAACGCACGGTCCCATCAGCGCTTGGGTAGGTCTCCTGTACCACACCAAGAGGCCAGAAGCCTCTAGGCGTGTCCTCCGTCATCACCAGGACGACATCATCCACGGCGAGATTTGGTCTCTCCTTGTTCCATTTCTTGCGCGAGCTGAGAGTCGGCAGATACTCCCGCAACCACCTTCTCCACACTTGATTCGTGAGCATCTGCACATGCCGCCAACGTTTGCGGGTCGTGTCGCCGTCCTCGAAGACGCCCGGAGGAAGTCCTGACGCGCTCGCCGTCTCTCCAGCAAGAAGGAAGTGGTTTGGAGTGATCGACTCCGGATCGCTGTTGGCTCCTGAGACGTAGGTGAGCGGGCGTGAGTTTATGACATACTCCACCTCGACGACAGTCGTGTGCAGGACATCGTCGGACACCGTCTGATTTCCCAACACGGCACGGAGGGCCCTCTTCACCGAGGCGACGAGCCTTTCCCAGGCACCACCCATATGACTCGCCGTCGGTGGATTAAACTTCCACACGATGTCCATCTGGCTGAGAGACTCGTCGATCTTCCGCTGATTCCATTCAGCCAACGCCTCTCGCAGCTCTCGCTCTCCGCCCACCAGGTTGGTGCCATTGTCAGAGCAGATACACCTCGGCCTCCCTCGCCGTCCGATGAACCTGCGCAGAGCAAGTAGAAAGGAATCGGTGTCCAATCCATGGGCGACTTCAAGATGTATCGCCCGCGTAGCGAGGCATGTGACGAGCAGGACATACCGTTTTTCCGTTTTCCGGAACTTTCGGACTGTCAAAGGTCCAAGGAAGTCCAGACCGCAGTTTGCGAAGGGTCTATCCATTTCAACTCTGACCCTTGGGAGAGCCGCCATCTCAGGACACACTGGCTGAGCTCGCCTGTTGCGGCACACAGCACAGCTCCGTAGAATCCTCTTCACTGTTGATCTCGCCTTCGGAGTCCAGAACCTGTACCGAAACTGGTTCAGAGTGTGGCTCATTCCCGCGTGCATGGATCTCACGTGAAGATCTGAGACGATCAGTCGCGTAACATCACTGGAGGGATGCAACACGATCGGCTCTCGGGAGATCTCAGCCAGTGGTGCACTACCAAGGCGACCCTTCGCCCTGATGAGGCCCTGGTCGTCACGAAAGAGAGACAGGTCAGTTGGCGAGTCGAGCGCCATCTTTGCCTGGTCTTCCCGAAAGATCAGGAGTTCTGCTCTCTTCAGCTCGTCGACGTTCAGCACTCCGCTCTGCTTGGGCTTCTTTGTTATCGCTGATCTGAGATTGCTGACGAACCGCAGAGACAAGGCCACTACTCGCCGGTACTTGCTCCACGACGAATAGGCCGAAGGATCCACGAGCCTGGACTGCGAATCACCGACGAAGGCGACTATCGTCTTCACAGAGGTCCTCCTGAGTTCAGGTTGCTCTGGATGGAGACCCGGGATCCGCGTCTTCGGCCACTCTTGTTCGTCTTGGGTCAGGAATTCGGGTCCCGACCACCAGAGGTCACACTCCTTCAGCATTGAGGCTGACATCCCTCGAGAGGCTATGTCCGCTGGGTTCTGCTTTCCTGGTACATGTTTCCAATCAGATGGTTCACACGATTCTCTAATCTCCGCTACTCTGTTGGCAACAAAGGTACGGAACGTGCGACTTTCGTTAGAGATGAACTGGAGCACCACCTGACTGTCCGTCCAGAACACAGTTCGGCTGAAGGCATACGACATCTCCCTCCTGATGATGCCCGCCAAACGCACCGCCAAGACCGCCGCCTGCAGCTCAAGACGCACAATGGACAACTGCTTGAGCGGAGCCAATCGCGAGCGCGACATGATGAGGGCACTGTGGTGGTGACCCGCGGTGTCTGTGAACCTGACGTACCCTGCGGCGGCAAAGGCACGCTCTGAAGCGTCAGCGAACAGATGTAGTTCGACCGTGTGAACCTCTTCAGTGACAGCAGACTTCAAGCATCGAGGTACAGCCAGATCTTCCAGATAGGACAGTTCTCCCAGCCAGTTCTTCCATATCACCAGCTCTTCTTCGGGCATGTCTTCGTCCCATGCCAGCTTCTTCTGCCACAGCGTCTGTATGAGGCACTTGGCGATCAGCACAAACGGAGTGATGATCCCAAGCGGATCAAAGAGCATGGCTGTTCTCTGCAACACCCCTCGCTTCGTAGAGGCCACATCAACCTCTTTCACACGGACACTGAGAGTGTCCGCGCTGGGGGACCACACACAACCCAGCGCCTTTTGCGGTGTACCTTTTACCAACGTGAGAGTCTTCTGACTGACGTCACGGTCGTCTTCTTCAATGTCTTCCAGCAGCCCTGGCAGATTGCTGCGCCACTTGGTTAGGCGGAACCCTCCTTGGCGCAAGAGGGTCGTGACTTCCCGGCGCGCAGCCCTTGCTGCTTCCACACTTGGTTCCGACCGAAGGTAGTCATCCATGTAGAAGCTTGCTACCAGTGACTCACGATCAACTTCGGTCCCCCCGGTCCCAGGGTTCTCCGTCAGAGCGCGGCGCAGGATGTGATTGGCCACGGTAGGGCTACACTTGGCCCCGAATATCACAACACACATTTGGTACATGTCGGGAGGTTTCTTGAGGTCGATACTCCTCCACAGAAAGGAGAGTGCTGGCTGGTCCTGTGGACGCACTCTAATCTGGTGAAACATCTGATAGATGTCAGCGACAAGGGCGCACTGCTCCTCCCTGAAACGTAGCAGAACTGCACACAGGTTCTGGAGCAAGTCAGGTCCTTTGAGGAGTTCCGTGTTGAGAGAAATCCCGTCCTGTTCGGCAGCCGCATCAAACACCACACGAGGCTTCGGCTTGTCCGGCCGTGTGACAGCGTGATGAGGAAGCAGCCATCTTTTCTTCTCCTTGAGCTGCTTCTCTTCTGAGGAGACCTTTCGGGCGTATCCCTGATCCACGTATCCTTCAATGACCTCAGAATACAGCTTGGCTTTCTCTGACTTCCGCATCAGACTGTGTTCCAACGACGTGAGACGCTTTAGAGCCATCTTGTGGTTGTCTGGCATCTCCGCTTGCTCGTCACGCCAGGGCAGACCGACTTCGTAGCTGTCACCCACTCGCCTTGTCGTTTCCTCCAGGATCTTCATTGTCTTCACATCTTCTGGGGAGAGCCCATCTCCGGCGAGCTTGGTCCCGAAGGCCTCTGTACTCCACCAGTCCTGGAGAGTGTCGGTGAGTTCTTGGTCTGCTTTCTGGAGAAACATCACTTCTTTGGGTCCGTCTGGCTTACAACCGAAGACACTCCCGGTCAGCGACCATCCGAAGGCGGTCCTGATGGCTGTTGGCTGCCCACGTTGACCTACCCTGGCCTCCGTCTGAAGTACTGCTTCCAAGCAGTTGGCGCCCAATAGGAGCTCCACTTCTCCAGCTGTGCATTCTGGAATGCTGAGATCCTGCAGGTGCTTCCACTCGTGTCTGTTCCTGGCGCTGACTGTAGGCGTCCTCACATTAACTCTCGTAACAGAGTAGGCTTCTGGGACGCAGATCATCCGGGAGCGGTCTTCCGTCTCTGCCAGGGGACTCACTGTCAGCTGGACACGCTGTGACGCCTTCTCTTCGCCATCAGACTCCACGTTGCGCAGACGGAGTGACTGCGGTTGTCCGGTGATGTTCAGCTCTCGCAGTGCGGATGCGCAGCAGAGTGATGTTTGTGCACCTGGGTCCAGCAGAGCCAGAGTGTCCCTTTTCTTGCCGTTTGCTCCATGGATACGGACGGGTACCACTTGCAGTAGGACCGTTGGCGACGCCCTGTCTTCGTTGGTGAATGAGGCGACAGTGTGCTGACTTGCTTCTAACTGAGCAGGCCGTTCCGTAGATGCTGTAGTATCTGGTCCTTGCCCGAGCCGCCTCAGCCTCTTACTCCCGTGCAGGAGTCTGTGGTGCCTCAGCCGGCAGCCTTGAATACCACATGTTCTTGCTGATCGACATTCTCTGCTGCGGTGTCCCACTCTCAAGCAGCTGAAGCAGGCGCGCTGGCTCGCGATAACCTGCGCACGCTCGTCTGCGTTCTTCGCTTTGAAGCTGGCGCAATCCCACAGACTGTGGCTCGAGCCACAACAAACGCAGTCGGTCCTCGGACTCTGAGTTGTAGCGAATGCCGACGCAACTCGCGGCTCAGGTGTAAAGCCTCCACGACGAGTCGGGCGAACGGGTCCTGGTCTGTCTGGAGCTGAAACACAATGCAGGGAGATCCTTACCTGCAGCTTCAGCCACTCGTTGAATTCCAGCAGACTCGCTCTGGCTTCGAGGCTGAGAGCATGTTTAGCCCATTCCCGTTTCAACTCACTTGGGAGCTTGTCGACCAGTCTCCGAAGATTCTCCTGACTGTACAGGTCTCCCTTGAAGTCAAGTCTGTCCAGAACAGTGACAGCTGAGTTGACATCAGCGTAGAACTGCTCCAGAGTCCTGATGGTGGGAGATGGGTGCCTGAAAATGGTGTTCAACTTCGCTCGAACGATGTCCTGCTCTCGACCAAACCGCTCTTCCAGTATCTGCAGGGCTTCAGGATACAGGCTCGGATCACACATCATACCACTGATCAGCTGCCGAGGAAGGCCGGTCACTGAAGACTGTAAAAACACCATCTTCTCTGCAGCACTCAGCGACATCTGGTCATGCACAAGGGCCTTAAACAAACCAAACCATGTCGGCCACTCACTTGGATCACCCGAGAAGGTACGCAGTGATAGGCGAGGCAGACTCCTGCCGACATCATGAGTCACACCTGGATCTTGAGGAGCTTCCCTGACCGGCTGGGCCATCTTCTCATCCCCGCCCACACACATCACCTTCGGTTCGTTCAACTCTAACTTGTCTTCCTTTCCTGTGATCTTCTCATCAGCAAAGTCATCTTTTCTTTCCCAGGCCAGACCACTCTCTGCCGCTTTACGTAGGGTTGCTTCTAGCCTGGCTGCTTCTACCTCATCTTGCACAGCCTGCAGTTTGTGCTTCTGCTTGAGTGCTTCTTCCTCCTTTTCTTGTGACAACTGCTGAGTTAGCTGCTCCAGCTTCAGCTGTTTCAACTTCAGTTGGATTTCTGCCTCTCTGGTCCCCATGGATGCAGCTGAGGTTCCTGACTGCTGAGTTGCACTCCTTTTGCTTAGCCCAGAAACAACTGATTGAGGCTCATCCTTTCTCTCTTCCAGATATTCACCAATTCTTTCCACAGTGTTGTCATAGGACTGGATGGCTTCATTGTAGGTTTTCTCAGCAGTCTGAGTTTGCTCTTCATTTACAAGTACTTCAATATAAGCATGATGTGCTTCTGTGACGCTATCTGCAGCAGCATCAAGATCTTTCAACAAGCTTGTCAGCTCTGTACGACTGCCCCTTGCATTCACAATCACAAGAGCACGCCTCCTGAGATTGGTGAGGGATCCTAGTCGTCTGGCCCGAACATTTTTCAACTTTCGCACTTCAGACAAATCCATCTTGCCATATGTGAACAGTGCACAACTACTCAACAAACATCTTGATCTTACAGAGGCATTTCACAGCACACCTGACAACTTGAACCCACTTGCAAACTTGCACATCTGAAACTTCCTTCATTGCTGGTAGCTATCAAACATCAGAACTTCTTCACAACGTCTGAAACTTCTGACCACATATCTGAAAACTGTTTCCACAATCGCCCTTCGCCCATATCTTCAGACGCGTCCTGAGTCCCTACTGCCTTGACGTCAAATAAACCAAAATAAAATAAAAAAGGAAAGTCATGAAACAAATGGTATTCAAGGAGCAGCAAGCAGGCAGTGATATACCAACAGACAGTCGGTCGGAGAGACAAACAGACGGACGGTTTTCTGCAAACAATCACAGATGGGAATTACACTCAGTATGGGCACATCACGTACTGCATCCATAGTTATGTCAAGAATTGCTGTTAACTCCGTATAAACACAGCAATAAACCTTCAATCAACATTAAGTCAAGGTTGACGTCTGACAATCATTACTTTAACAGTTCAAGTTCATTGATGTTAGCACGCAATCAACAGTTTGCTAATTTGCATCTTTAAATTAACAGTTGTACTGACCAGATATGTTTGGGCACGACGGTGGAACAAAAACAGTGGCAGCGGCTGGCTCAATCTCAGTCCGCACTCGTAGGTCCGCGGCTCAGCTGGCTCACACTCAGCTGGACGGCCCTAGAACCACCCCAAACATATGTATGAACGTTGTCTACTTTGACAATGATAAACTAATGACGGTAAACAGCAAAACTAAAGAACCTGCACCCAGTAGTACAGTAAATCAAAGTACAAAATTGAAAGCGCGACGAAAGTGGCGCTACGTTGGTTTGTTGCCATTTCCGCTGAATTCAACATCGCTCACAGCTAGCAGAAAATATATCAGACAATACTAATTGTGCTAGCTATCACTTGGATGCATTCATTAAACATTTCAGACAATCATCAATAAGAAAATGAAAGCATACGTACGACGGCCCTCGACACCAGTGGTTCATTCAAGAATGAGCCTGCGTGGTCTACAATTTGGATGCGTCTCGTGCGCCAAACTCGTCAAAGACACGCGAGCAAACGCGGCCACTAAATGACGGGCCGGCTCCCGAACGTAAAGAGCCGCCAGATTTCTCACAAACGGCGACCGGTCGCAACAGGGACTCTGACCTCACTGAGGGGGTATACAGACTGACAGAGGTACTCTGACCTCACTTAGGGGATATACAGACAGTCAGAGGGACTCTGACCTCACTGAGGGGGTTCTTCAGACTGACAGAGTCGTTTTGCGGTGGTCATTATGTGCGTGTGTAAGGGCGGTGCGTACTGGTGTGTACAAATAAAAAAGATTCGGTACCAGTGGTCATGCTTCAGGGAGGTTGCCGCCTGACTGACGATAACAGTCTTATACGGCAACAGGTGACCCCTGCATCGTGCAGAGTCTGAGAACACGATGAAATTTTGATGTACCGCGATGAAAAGGAGCGAGCAGCTCTGAGGCATAAACTCGGGAGCAGGACGAATCGCGTGACCCCGAGCGTCTTGAGTCTATTCAGCTTAGGGTTCGGTACTGATTGGTACTGTGAAGGTATATGCTCTATCTGATTTTGATAAACATTCGCAAATTGTTGTGAAAAAATACAGCGCTATAATAAGCTCATAATTATTCCATTTTTCGATCGCTTTCAAAACGAAGTTAGAGAAGGTCGATGAGCTCAGATCCTTGCGGGATATATGTATGTGAGTTCAGCAGGGAGTCCGGGCTGCGAACGAAGTCATCATTTGTCGACGTCCATTCGCCATGATTAAACGCACAGCATCAGTATGCAGGCTACGAGCCACTTTCAAGTCATATATCAGACTTGAACCCGTAAAATGATTTTTAAAACCAACTGATGCCGCTGGAAAGTTCGAACGGTTCGACGCCGATTGGCAAAGGCCCTCAGGCGCTGGGCGCATGCTACGCAAAGCGCCTGCTTTAAATCATTAAGTACTATGCTCAACAATTCTGAAAATAGCGTGAGCTGAGTGTTGAAAATGGTATGTAACCCTTCCATTGGCAGCTGCTTATGACTCACCATTTCAGCGCCCGACAGCTGGCGGACACCGTTTACAGAGCGAGGCAACGGCACGTTTTCCAGACTCTAATTAGCCCAGCCTGTTGACGGGTGACCTATCGCTCATAGAGGCTCATCCTGCGACTCTATGTAAGTTTGGTCGTTAGCCGCTTGAAGTTGGCAGACGTGAGCTATGGAGACAGCGAGCCTATTACAACTTCGCGGGATCCACTAGTCACATCTGGATTTGAAGCGTTAAGGTGGACTTTTCGTTATTTTATTGGAGGAAGAAACAGAGCTGCCCTTCTGTAAAACATAGCTTAAAATTTCCTGTTACAGGAAGCATTTTTATTCTTATTTGGGGCAATTTTCAATATATTGGTGCAGATGTCACAGCCCTTAGGAAAAATGACGATAGCAATGCCGCCTCAAATTGATGCGTAAGCAGTTCCATATCGAGGTGCCACGTTCGCGCGGCGGACCAATCTACCGAGCCCTTTGAGCATCAGCGCAAATGCTGATATTCACCCGATGGGACCCTCCTCTTATCCTTTCCTAATGCATTGACGATGGCGGCATCGCATTCTATCAGCTATAGCGTATCAGATTGCACTCTTCCAGCTTTAAAAAGCCATCTGGTCGACTCAATTCTGCAGCGGCGGCGGTGGAGGCACAAGAGGTTCGGTGATCGAGGCCCTCCGAAATGAGCCGCCTGTTTGATGAGCGATCTGACCGCTGGCCCTCGCCTCTCAGAGCAATCTATATTGACGTCGCCACAGACCTGAAGTAAAAACACCGGACGGGCCCAACGAGAGTCGAACGACTCGGGGTGGTCGACTGGCAAACAGCGACTCGGCTCAGCCGAAACGGCTACATCCGCGCGGCACACAGTGGAGAGGGAGAACGAGGGAGGGAGAGAAAGGGAGAGAGGGAGAAAGAGAGAGAGAGAGAGAGAGAGAGAGAGAGAGAGGAGCAGGAAATCAGACAGCCAAAGGTAATGACTCTTAGGTCTGGTATGCCTTTAGTAGCTATCGATTTCTACCATAATTGCGGCTATAAGCCCGAAGCATGAGAACGCCTGTGCGGATTTCTGCCGGAGGGGACGAGAGTGTCGCCTCCCATTACCATGTTATGATAGCAGATCCAATCCAAACAGACCAGAGTGCGTCTTGGATGGTCACAGCCGCACTTTGTATCGAGAGCCGGCGTGACTCGTTTCCCACGCCTCTGCCAAAGACAGAGCTCGGCAGAGGTGGTGATAAATTGTCGACAGATAGGGAGTCAAGGGTCCGGGGTCCGACCTGGCACTTCTCGTTTCTCTCCGATACCAGCACTTATCTAAGCGGCCGAAAGGCCGTCTTCAATCAGCTTAGTCAATGAGTGCGCCTCAAAATAAAATATAGCAATGGAGGGAACATAAAGTCTTGATGATGGAGTTTCCTTAGACTTATTTTGGATATAACTAAATACGTATTTATTTGATATTCTGAAGGGACGTCTGCTTTCATGTTTCTAAAAAGTGACCCTATGAAATGTTATGCAAGAATTTTGATAAGGTAAAATAGGCGAACCGGAACGTAGCCTGTGGAATCCTTGGTGTTATATAATACTGAACGAGGCCGGTGTAAATAAATTTTCAAGACCGAGGTCCTTACTGGATTTTTGAACGAGGCCGAAGGCCGAGTTCAAAAATCAGTAAGGACTGAGGTCTTGAAAATTTATCACCGGCCGAGTTTGGTATGTATTTTACTGTATGCCAACGATAAATTTATTTTCTGGACCGAAGCTCTTAGCCGACTTAGGAACGAGACCATCCCAAAATGTTGGCTTAAGTGCATTCTGGTAATACATTTTTGACCGTGGTCAATTTGCTTACACCAGTTATTACCACACCCCTCTGGCTAATGTATTTGAATAGGCCAGGCATACAGTAAAATAATTAATGCCACCTGTATTTTTGAAGAAATAGTGCGGAAAGTTATTTTTGGTAACAAACTAGCAGTTTCAGAGTTTTCTGTTCTCTCTCCCGGCTGGTGATGTCGCTGAGTTTCAGTTTGGTTCTCGGCTCGGGTTCAGTTCGGTTCTCCATTTCTGCGCGGCTGTCAGGTCTCCTCAGAGACCCGCCGACCTCCCCGGTCAGTCAGACAGAGTTCTTCTCCGACCCAGCTCCACAAAACAATATCCACCGGCATCGTAAACAACACACCTCCTCGCCCAAAGAAATACGGAGCGTCCCGCAAAACAGGTTACGCTGAGTAACGACCTTTGTCTGCGTGCGCCGACTGAGCAAACAACCGAAACCTCGGTATAATTGAAGTGCCACACACAAATGTTCCAATATCTATACCGGCTCATCGTTGGATACTAATGCGAAGAAAGAGACTTGTGGAAAGGGTAGTAGGAAAACAGTAAAGTCATTGGAAGAACGTCATAGCTGGCTGCTACAGGCTAAATATTCCAAAAGTGTAATCCATAAGATCCCCGTTATCCAAAGTATGACAAATTTTTGAAGGTTTTGATCAAACGCAGTAATGCTGTTTAGAAAGTAGGAAGTAACGTTGTGCTAAGTATGTCTATTGCGTTAATAACTTAAGCCCTAATCATAATCAGCCTAGAATCATCATTCACGTTCAGCATTGTTACGTCAAATAACAAAACACCAAACCCTGTGTTGCAACAAAGCTCGCTAGCATCTCTATCACTCATGGCCTCTAAAAAGTCACTCCATAAAATTTCTGACATCACTTCCGCCCTGATACCGTCTTCCGTCTCTATACCATTGGCCGGGGGTGACGGCACCGGGCGTCGGTTTCGGCTCCGGCCGCCGATCGGCCTATTCGTCAGCGGCAGGGTGCTGCGTCGACTGCGACGGCGGCCCGGGGGGGGGGGGTGCCGGTCCGCGCCCCACGGCCGGCTCTGCCCCGTCTGCGCCGACGGAGACACGAGTAACTTGTTACCGAACGGCGCTGACAGGGCAGAAACGCTCCTTTGTTTTATTATTTGCTTCTTGGGAACATCAGGGTGCTTTGTGTAATGGATGAGGCCAGGAACGCTTATTCATAATAATACTGACGTGAGATAAGAGGCTCCAGGTCTTATTGTGATAACAAACTGTGATGTGTTATAATTAGACACGCACGAGACACGCACGAGATTAGTCCACGCCAGGCAAATTGACATGCACCTTTATGCTGTTTTTTGGAATTAATTGTTGTCAGTTTATATTCTTCCGCGGCAAAAAAGATCATCGTCGATTTCATCATTCTACCCACCACCACACATTTCACGTAGAAACGGCACAAGCACACGTAATGATAACGCTACCTTCTTACATAATGCCGGTGAATATATTCAGCTCTGAATGAGCTCTGATGCATTCAGATGCATCACTTCACACACCCTTGAGCGCTGCCGAGACGGGTTCCGGTGGCCACCGAGCACGGGGCCGTGTTCCGTTCGCGGAAACTCGGCCCGGCTGCAGCAGCCATATTGGCCGCAGCTCGGGCTGCAGCGCCGTGCTGAGTGACGCCGCTAATAGCTGGCAGAAGCGGCGCCCTTTGCAGCCGCCTCCGGCCAATCGTCGGCGCTGATCCGTCCGCTCCGTTCGGCTCAGAGGTCAGCGAGCGGTCAGAGCAGCCGCCAGGTCAGACCGCCGCGCTGGTCGGGTCAGCGGAGCGGTCAGAGCAGCAGGTCAGACCGCTGATCGGACCAGCGAGCGGTCAGAGCAGACAGGTCAGAACGTGATCGGGTCAGCGGCTCAGTCAGAGAAGCTAGGCTAGACCACTGATCGGGTCAGCCCGACTGGTCACTGGTCAGAGAAGCCAGGTCAGACCGCTGCAGCTGATCAGGTCGAATGGCCGTGCCAGAGGGGGTCGACTTGGGCCGGGGTCAGCCACCAACACCGCGTGCATACTGCAGCAGATTCCGTGCAGCCTCCGACCAAACTGTAGTGTGCCTGCTAGTAACTGCGCTGAGCGATAGCAGTGTAGCAGCGCTACTAGCGCTGAACTTAATGTGAACGTTCAAAGTAGGATTACCAGCGGCCGAAAAGGGACGCGGTGGGCGACTTTGGTGAACTTTGTCCGAAATATAGCGC